ATCTGTCTCTATCTCTTCAATCTGTAATTATTCATATCTCGATTCATTGTCTGGTGCACTTATATACAATAACAGAGGGCGCCTAGCAAATATTGGATTATTCGTGATGTTCCTGATCTTTTTAGAACTCATTACGTGTTACCAGCGTCACGTGACTTCCGCTGTCGTGACACTACATATTAGGCTTTTGTGATTAAAAGTTCTACGGAAATATAATATACAGAGACGAATTCTTTCAAATGGATTTTTTTTTATTGTTTGAGTTTTAAAAATACCTTGACAACAGTAAAATTACACAGGCATGCGATGGTTTTATTGTCTTAAACGAATAATTAAGGTATCACTTAAAACCAAATCATATATTTGAAATAATGTAGATAAAGTAGCCCCTAAATCTACGTTAATGATTTGATATCTTATAGGCAATTTAACTCAATCCACGTTAAGGATTAGGTATCATATAGGTTAACTCAATCCAGGTTAAGTATTTGACAACATATGAGCAATTTAACACAATCCTCGTTAAGGATTACATAGGCCTATGAGGATTTTATTGTCTTGATATTTTTACATGTTCTACAGTAATTCCTGTATGCTGAATCCGAAAACGATATCCATTTTTCTCCATCGTACAGATTTTTTACAAAACATCATAACGCAATAAGTAAAAGAAAGACCACGACACGTAGTTTTGAGACTAAAAGAAGTATATTTCACACACACACACAAAATCAGGATGAATGAGGATGCATATTCGATTGACATCATTGTTCTTCCCTTTTCTTTAGCTTGTTTGTATTTTTGTTAACAAACATAATAATAAAAATAATCAGTGGTAAACTAAATAATAATTTGATATAAGTAAGAGTGTTTTTTCTTCCCGATTTGTAAAAAATCCTTACGTGATAGAAAAAAAAAGAGAATATTATTTTTGAAATCTGCGTAGCTGAAATATGGAAAATCCGTTATTAAAACCAAAACAACTTTTATAAAGTTTCAATCCGCATGCCTGTGTTATTATTGTTATGAGAAGTGAATTGGGTTGCTAACAAACATACTCACAGAGGGCGCTATACAAGCAGGCAGATAGACAAATATTTTGTTTTTTTGTAGAAATTAGAGACTCGTATACGTAAATGAGGGGAGGCTAGAAATGGTATTTAATTTTTACTTGTTCTGTAGCGCCATATACAGAATGAACATGTCACCAAAAATGAATCGATTTAATATAAATCAAACTGATCACTTAATATACATCTTAAGCATCACTTTTGATCACAGATATTTCCGTAAGGTAATGTGACATTTATGCGATGTTATGTTAACGTTATTTATTTTTATAAGAAACTACTAACTATCCCTTTTATCCCGGATAATTAGTTTTATACGCTACAGTTCTAAATGATGAATCGCAATCTTTAGAGCTTTCGAATACCGTCTAATCAACAATGAATGCGGAAGCCGTGTTGCTGACTGATAAATAGAAATGTGATTAATCATGAAGTTTGTTTTGGCGTCTTTATTTAACATATGAGCCCCCCAGTGGCACACGGCATGTCTGCAGACTTGCAACGCTAGAAACGGGGTTTCGGTATCCGTGATGGGCAGAGCACAGATAGCCCATTGTGTATCTTTGTGCTTAAACTACAAACAAAAAATATTTAACATTTGCATATAATATTCAAGTTGGTGGGGGGGACAAGTACCCCTCATCCTTTCTTTAAAGGGGATTTACCCCTACATTTCAACACCAATGGTTCTAAGTCTGCTCAAAATAGTTCAAAGATTTATAAACGATGGTCTCTCATATTTATTAGTTTCGTATCGTATCGACTTAACAGTTATTATGGTTTTAAAATCTAACAAAGGGCTTATTAAACAACCAGGGTCACTCATAAACTTCTGTTTCTCTTCACCCCCGCTAGTGGAATTAAAACTTTTTCTAAGGTGAATTCGGAAAATTTACCATAGTGAATAAAACTTTAAGTGGCATACCAAGTTTGAACGATTGGGTGTTGGTAAACGTGCGTGTGTTATTGGGTGTTGGTAAACGTGCGTGTGTTATTGGATGTTGGTAAACGTGCGTGTGTTATTGGATGTTGGTAAACGTGTGTGTGCTATTGGGTGTTGATAAACGTGCGTGTGTTATTGGGTGTTGGTAAACGTGCGTGTGGCTATTGGGTGTTGGTAAACGTGCGTGTGTTATTGGGTGTTGGTAAACGTGCGTGTGTTATTGGATGTTGGTAAACGTGCGTGTGTTATTGGGTGTTGGTAAACGTGCGTGTGGCTATTGGGTGTTGGTAAACGTGCGTGTGGCTATTGGGTGTTGGTAAACGGCGTGTGTTATTGGGTGTTGGTAAACGTGCGTGTGGCTATTGGGTGTTGGTAAACGGCGTGTGTTATTGGGTGTTGGTAAACGTGCGTGTGGCTATTGGGTGTTGGTAAACGGCGTGTGTTATTGGGTGTTGGTAAACGTGCGTGTGTTATTGGATGTTGGTAAACGTGCGTGTGTTATTGGGTGTTGGTAAACGTGCGTGTGGTTATTGGGTGTTGGTAAACGGCGTGTGTTATTGGGTATGTACAAAGCGTGACTAATTGAGAGCCTCATGACGTCCAGGAAAGCTGTGAAAACTGAAAGCAGGATGTCAGGGATCGGAAACGCGATGAAAAGATGTGAAAGCTATAAGATAAGTGAACAAGTAGGCGTGATAAAAGACAGGATAAATGACCGGTAATAAAAGACAGAATAAATGATCAACTTGGAGGACCAAGGCTGTGAGAAAAGCAACGAGGTCGTGAAAAATACTAAAGAATAAAAGTCATGTATAAAACTTCTGACCGGAAGAAAATTAAGATTTAACACAAATTTGAAAATTTAATCATATAATCGTTAACTCGGGACGGGCACTTCTTCAGGGCTGAAATCACAGAATTCCCTTTTCAGAGCTGAGATCACAGAATCCCCTTTTCAGGGCTGAGATCACAGGATCCAAATTTTAAACGTAAAAATTTTGCTGTGGAGAAGAAAACGGGAGTCCCTCGAGAAAAACCCACTTTCACTGCCCAGACGTCGAATAATCTACCTGTTTAGTGCTTATGGCTGAAAAGAAAATAACTTGGTTAACAGGCAACAAACAAGATCATATATACTGTTACGTCTCCGTTCGTTAGTTAATTTTCCGTAACTTCGTTCCGACGAAACTTTAGCGACACAAGTCCTTTCTTAAGCCCCCCAGTGGCACAGCGGTATGTCTGCGGACTTACAACGCTAGAATCCGGGTTTCGATACCCGTGGTGGGCAGAGCACAGATAGCCCATTGTATAGCTTTGTGCTTAATTACAAACAAACAAACCTTTCTTAAATAAAACTGGTTTATTCTTTCCGAATACAACTTTATGATACACTTAATTTCAACAGTCGCTCTATAACAAACGCTATAACAACGAACTTCTCACGTGCTCGACTTCAACAATACTCCGTTCAATTACACACTCTCTAACTGCAGTACAATTACTCATTACCTACACACATTGTCCCGTCACGTTGTGACCATCTTATATATACCAGGCTACCCCCAATCTAGTAAATGCTAGGGCATTCACGAAGGAACAGGATATTTCTAGAAAACAGGTGGCGTGATACTAGTCACGTGACCTCGCTGACGTAACAATACTTTAAGCGACTTGTGTAACCGTGTTGTTAAGATTCTTGTTCCAGGAGGCCGGGGTGGCCGCGATTTGGGAGAATTTTTTTGTCTGGGAATTACATTGGGGCGCGTGTTTGTGATAACGTGTTGCTAACCTAAATAAGCGTTATTTCAAGGGTGGTATGACCGAGAGTGAGTTTAGATACTCTGGTGGGGTATAATTCGGGAATCTATGGACTATTTTAATTGTTCTATTCTAAAGATTTTGCAACTTTTGATACTGACAGTCCGACATATTGCTCGTTACCGTATTACCATATCCAAATAAAGGTCTAATGTAAGCATGGTAGATAATGATAACTGTTTTGACACTACAACCCTTATTGACGCCTCCTATGTGTCTTAAGTAGTTGATTCTGTTACTTATTCGTACTGATACGTAGTGTTATTAGTTTAATAATTAATCGAAAATTTAAATAACCCCCCACAATATTCAGCAATTATCTACAGTTCGTTTCTGATTAACAAATCTGCACGGTTTTCAGTTACCCCCAGCAGTAAACCTGAGGGCTTATAACGTTAAAAGTCAAGGTTCGATAGTGCATTATGGAGCTTTGTGCTTAAACAAAACATACAATTAATATCTATTCTTTTCATAACAACATTTTTCAGGTGTTTGTCTTTTCGCCATGGTCTGTGGGAGGCTGCCTTTCACGACACGTCAGGACCTACAGGAATTTCTTGAGGCCGTTTCTCTGAAAGTTATATTTACCAAGAAAGTAACCAAAGGTGATATTCTACCCAAAGTTTGTGGTTTTTTCAAGGATTTTTGTTGAAAATCAGGATAATTACAAGCAGAGTTTTGTAGAAACGATACCGAAACACTCGGTTATACTGCTAACAAAAAAATATATCACTTTGTGAAAATAATAAAATATGAAATGTACAAATTAACGCGCGTGTCACAAAAAATAATGTGAAATACGTGTAAAAGATGACAAATTAATGAATGTTTGTAATGTTGGCTCGGTTAAATGTTAATTTTAACCGAAATGTAAGTTTTTGTCCTTTGTTTTCAAGTTAGTTATAAATTTACTCAGCTTGCCGTGACATTGTTCGACGAATGCTAAACCCCGTTCCCGAGAAGCGACCTACGCTTAAAGAGATTCGCCGTAGTAAGTGGCTCAGCCAGCCGTTAAACTTATCTACAACGGACACGCTATCATCCAACCCATTTTGCCAGGTCACGACCCCTTCTACAGGCAAGTCATAAAAACAGAAGTGGTGATGGAGATCAGTAAACACGTGAACATAATTATTCCCGATTTACAGTAATCTGACGTGACATAATAATTCCTTATTTACATTAATCTGATGCAAGGATAATAAATCCTGATTTACAGTAATCTAAAGTGACGATAATGATTCCTGATTTACAGTAATCTGACGTGACATAATAATTCCTTATTTACATTAATCTGACGTGACAGATTACTGTAAATCAGGAATTATTATCCTTACGTCAGATTAATGTAAATAAGGAATTATTATAACGTGACGATAATGATTCCTAATTTACAGTAATCTGACATGAGGATAATCATTTCTTATTTACATTAATCTGACGTGAGGATAATAATTCCTTATTTACATTAATCTGACGTGAGGATAATAATTCCTGATTTACATTAATCTGACGTGAGGATAATAATTCCTGATTTACATTAATCTGACGTGAGGATAATAATTCCTGATTTACATTAATCTGACGTAAGGATAATAATTTCTGATTTACATTAATCTGTCGATTAAACATCCCATCTCTTAGTTTTTATGCTAATATCTCATTGTTTTTTGTTGTTGATGGTGCGGTTGTACCATATGGTTACAATGTTTAGCTTTTATGCTAATATCTTGTTATTGTTTTGTTGGTGTAGGCGTAGAGCATGGCTACTTCCAAGACCAGAAATATCATCGAGAACCAACCCTAAATTATGTCACTTCTTTTCTCACTTACGTAGCCAAACGAACTCGCAGGTCAGTGTGGTTGTGCTTTAAAGTTGAAGTCGTGTCTGTTTTTGCTTTTTTATCATCATTATAAAAAAAAAAATTCGCACGAAACTCATTCTGTACCAGTTAAAACTATATGTATTTACCAGAACTTTGGTGACTACTAGTCATATTATTTATATTAATTAATAATAATCAATGTCACATTGTGTCAGTGGCACATTTAACTCACGTGGAGTAAAATTATTTAGGTGACTATAACCACTGTACTTAACCAGGAGCGGATTAAGGCGGGGGCTATTAGTACTGTATCCCCAGGCCCGGGCTCGAAAAAGACCCGTTTTGAGTTTTAGTTAGTTAGTTTTTTACCTTAGTCTTTAGTTGCGATCATAATAGGCCTGGTAGGAAAATTTTGCTATAGGTTCATCCGCCTCTGTGGTTAACTATTGATCGAAACGGTATGATAGATAGTTTCACCTGTTAATCAGACCTTATATGAATAATACAATAACTCAGCTTTGTTAAAATACTATTTAGAGAAGTTCTTTTATTGCCACCTGGCGGAAAATCAATTGGAGTTCCTCCGTTTAATTTATTTTTCGGTGTGTTAAGCACAAACTTACAAAATGGACTATCTGCATGTTGCTCACCTTGAATATCGAACCCTGAATCTTAGCATACTACTAAGTCACCATGGGGGTTATAAATAATGATCGGGAAATGATAACCGAAAGGAGAAAAGTTAAGGAATAATAGAAGAGGGTATATACACAGCGTGGTCACAAGTAAATAGACACCTTTTCAGAAAAAATGAAAATTTTCAGTCATATTCACATG